TTCATCTTTGCCTTTCAGTAGAAGTTTTATTGTTTTATTGAAATTGCTGTTAAAGGTTTCTAGGGGATTTATCAGATGAAATTTTAGACAAACATACAACTGCTGCTCTAGGTTTTGGCCTAAGTTTTGCAACTTCAAAAAAACTTAATAATGTTGAAATTGCAAAAGCCTTTTGTAACTTTGAAAAATTTTCTGATTTATCCTCTGATGAAATTAATATTAGTAAAGGAATGGTATACAGCTCTATGTTAAAACCAAACATTCCCAATTTTTTTTTATATTTTATTTAAAGCAGTTCATACAATATACATAGATAGTTACGTATATAAATGGATAAAAAATTTTTAAAATAAAAAAAGGGATTTAGGGGCTCTTTCCGGTCCGCTAGTAAACTATTCATAATGATTCTGATTTCACTAACTACAAAACCAACAATACTGCAAATCACGTGCTTCCATTACTGTCACAATACTAGTTACTCCCCCCCCCCCCCCAACATTTACGTTTTTGTTATTTTTATCTAAATAGTTGCGCTAAAACACTATATGAACTTGTACTTTAACTTTTATTACTCCAAAATTCATTTTTTTAGTTTAAAACTTACAAAGTTTTAAAAAAAAAAGACCCCCGTAGAGGTCCTCCACAGAAATAAATGAAATTAATTTTTGCAATACACTTACACGTTTTCTATGAGTGACTAAAAATTATAGACTCCACAACATCTTAAAACTATTCAAAGAACTTTTAAAATATGAAAAAACATTATATTTATGACTATTTGATAATGCACTATTTATATAGTGAACAGTGTCAAAAAATATGATAACGTACATGGTTTTGGAAATACACACTTTTTCTTTTTACCAAGAATGATATTATTAAAACGTATTGTTTTGTTTACAAATCTAGAGTTTATTGACATTTTTCAGAGCATTTTAGATTGCCTTTCACAATATGGTAATAATAAACATTAACCCCTAATCGAATTGATAAGCCGCCTTTTGCTTCTCAGGAAACTATGTTTAATACTTGATATTTTTATCCATGTAATTTTTTTTTCCCCCCCCCCCTTTTACAGAGACCAGTCCCCCCCAGCTTTAAAAACACTAATTCGCGCAACCCTTCACAGTCATCCTTTTCGTCCCGGAAAATTCTACCCCATTACGCCATACCTACCTCATTTACATTTTTGTTTTATAGAAATGTCCTGCAAAAGGGCCCTTATTCTTTCCTCCCCCCCCCCTCCCTCATCGCCAGATATATAGACATAATCTGCCACTAAATCATGAGGGCCCCTCCCCCAAACTATCTCCCCCCCCCCCTTTTTTCCAAACTCAGTGCCCTTTACACTAACCTCTCCCACCCACCATGCCCAAACACTCGCGAACCCATAACGTGCCCTTCGATATCCCAGAAATACCCCAAAATGATAGGTTTTCCCCTCCCCCCCACCAAAACACAACATTGAGACTGAAAAATTTCCCCATTGAACAGTCGACTTTAGTTGGCAAAATCCATGAAAAAACCCTATACATAGTTTCCTTTACCTGACTTCACCCGAACTTATGAGTCTCCCCAGATTCGTTAAAATTATATAAGGGAAAAAACAGCTCCCTTCCAACACCTTTAAACCCCTTCCCAAACCTCCCAAAACACAGCTTTAAATTTTTCCGGTTTTTCTTACTTTATAAGTATCTCAACAACTCATAATCCTCTAAGTCCCTCCCCCCCCACCAGCCTCACATCTTCCATAAATTCTCTCACTCTACACCTTTTTTCCCACCCAATTCAGAACAATGTTAACGTACATCCTTCAGTTGTCCCAAAGGGAAATTTAAAAACCTAAACCCCCCTTTGCCAGCGGTGTCTTACAACCGTTTGCCTCAGCAATGAAAACCATTCCCATTAAAATTTTCAGTACTTTCCTTTCACTTCCGTACATCCCGCCTCAAGGGGTTTTACACCACAGCCCGGCCAAAAATTTAGGTAAATGAGTGTTTTAAACTAAAGCTCTCTGTTGTATGTCAAACCACCTTCTTTTTCCCCCAAAATAAGCAAAACGCTTTGCACTACCCTTTTAAAATTTTTGCCTCTGAGCCCCCTGCGCTGCCCCCTGTCAATACCCCAAAATTTTTTATCGCTCTACTACCTGCCACCCAATTTTTTTTTCCCAGTTCCCCCCCCACCCTGCCCCCACCTCAGTTTTTCGATTTCTCACTATTAAATTCTCCCTTTTGCCCCCACTAAATTTTTTCAAAAATTTTATTACATTTTTTAAACCCCTCCTCCCCCCACAAGACCGGTGCATCCCATAACCAACTATCCCCTTTGCACCCCTAATTTTACCCCCTCACTTACTAACATTCATAAACCTATATAATGGGTCTTGAAAAAACATGCAAATAGGTTGAACATGGGCATCCGCCCTCAGCCCCCCCCCATACAAACCATCCCCCCACCCTTCATTAATTTGCACTCTATTTCTGCACTCTTTAAAGTTTCCCCCCACTGAAAATTTTCCCTCACCAAACCCAATCTTCCCCCCTGATCATCCAAATTCTCTCTCTCAAAACAAATATAAGCCCCTTTCCCAATCCAACGCAAAAAACCCCTCCACCATCCATCCTACGCTCCTCTAATAACCTTTTATCCCCCCATGCCCACTAAACATTGTTTCCCGGGGCACCCCCATCTGCCCCCCCATTTACCTTTCCCCAATTATTTTTACGAAACATTACCAAAACCCCTGGAAAACAATTTATAACCCCCGCACATTTGATAAACCTCTATAATTAGGATGCTATTTTTATTTCCCCCCTTTGGAACCATAATACTACACCTTCCTTTGGTTGGGACTCATGCTTCCCCTTACCCTTTTCATTACATTCATCAACTGCCCAAAAAATTTCCCTTATGACATCCCATTTTCTAAAATAAAAATTCTTTTGGGGATTCCACTTCCGGGTGCTTTCCGACACTCACCCCTTTTTTTAAAGCCGTCCCACTTCCTCCTCATTAGCCCCTTCTATCATCGCTCTATCTGCTGATCTGTTTTCTGTACCCCTTCTCAAAAAATCTTCGTTCTCATTTCCTTTTTCCCCCCTCATATATATTAAAAACCACTTATCAGCATAACTACTCATACTTTCCGTAGTTACAAACTCTCCCCCCATTGTATCCCCCCCACATTGTTGACGTCCAAACTTCATCATAGTCATTGTCTTCTGTCGCGTTTTTAAATCCCCGCAAATACCAGGCGGAGGGTTTATCCCCCCAAAAAACACTTCCAATCCCCTCTCTTCTTCCCCAATAAAATCTTGCATTTTGCATTTCCTTTAATTGTGCTTTGTGCCCTCAATTCTTTACGGGATAAACCCAAAAAAACCCTTCATAGCACTGTTTCGCTCCCCTTCCCAAAATATCTCTGTAAGCCATTTTCCCATTGATTTACCCCCTTTTCCTTTTCCCTCATAAAAAAAATTTTTGTTTCCGGTTTGGCACATTCCTCCCAATCGAGTATATCACCCCCTTTTTCCCCTTGGTCCATCATTTGTCCCCATCAACAAAACTACACCGCCCCCGCTTTTCTAACAATCTCACATTAAGTTTCCAATAATCTTTAAAACGCTTTGGTAAACCCCCCCATCCCCACCACGCCCACCCCTCTATGATCTGAAAACACTACTTTATGTTTCTGTATAGCACCTGTAACCCGGGAGAACAAAATTTCGATCTAGTGTGCCGCATTCCTCTCCTACTTTAAGTATGCTCCACGCCCACCCTCCCCCCTCACAACATCCGCTAAGCCCGTCCCCCTAAAACATCTCGTGGGCCCCCCAAAACCCCCCCGCACCCCTGGGTCCAATTTTTTACGTATCACACTTTTCCCAATCCCCTCCAAATAAGAATAAAGGAAAACCCGCTAGGAAAAATTGTGTGTCCCTTACAAAATCCTCTTTTTCCGTCTTTACTGTCCCCCGGATGTTACAACCCCCAAAAACACACTACCCCACCCCCTTCCCATCCACCTCGCTACTTCCCCTCTCCCCCCTTTTTCCCAAAGTAACAATTGGAAAGGCAGGTCTCAGCTATTAAAACGGCACCTCCCTTAATTCCCCGTATCCCGCTAAACTTTATATCCTCTACCAAAAAAATCCCTTCCCTACCTAAAATTAGCTCTTGTAAAAATATTTGTATGCCCAGTCTCTTTAAAAAACACTAAAAATCTTTCGCTTTCATCAGCCCTTTTGGGGTTAACATTTAAGGTTAGACACTTAAAAATGCTACGGGGGTTACCAAAAACACCCTACCCTTTTGTTTTCCCTTTCTTTTTTCTGAACATTCTTTTCGCTTGTCCCTTTTTTTGCCTCACCTTTCCTGCCCCCTTTTCCCCCCCCCCTTATTTTTTTTTTTACATCCACTGATAGTTTCTTACAGGTCGTTGCGCTGGTGTGGGACATCATCCTACAGAAGCCCCCGCCTCTTTTACGGATGCCTCTACATTGCATTCCCCCCCTCCACATTTTACGTTGTGTACTTCAACCACAACCTCACTAATCCGGGTTTTATTGCCTATTTTCCCCTCCCCACATTCTCACCTCTTCAATTCCTTTCCCCACCTATGTTTCCCCTCGAACCCCTGCTGGTGCACGCCCTATTTGATTCCAAGAATTTTTGAAAAACATTACATTGTCCGTAACCTGACTACCAAAATCCATCGTCTCACCCCATCCCCCAAAGCATTTTCCCAAAACCCGAGAGACCTCCGGGAAAGTTACACTTCTTCGGGTTGTCCCCCGATTTTATCCTGTTCTATGATCCTGAAGATGTCCCCCCGTAGAGGGTCGTCACCTCTCTCTCCTTCCACACACCTTTTCCCTCTCCATATTTCTCAGGGGCGAGACGAGGAACATTGCGCTTATGGGAAAGGCTCCCAAAAGTTACGGTTCTCTTTGCCCCCGCATATGTTCATATATGTATTTTAAATCATCAGAGTCAATATGTGGTAAGATTTGCGCAAAAACATTTTGAGGGGGAAAGGAGCCCCCACGCATCAGCAACTATCATCAGACCCCTTCCCAAAGATGCCTGATGTTAACACCTACTCGTTGTGTTGCTTTTTTATCTTCTCTCCGCTTTTAAATGGGACATTCCCTAACTTTTACCCAAGATAATATTGGATACGTCCCCCCATTGCTTCCAAAAACCCGGAATTAACCTTCATACACACGTCTGGTATTTTTCCACCCTCTTGTCATATGTGCAGCCTCCAAAATTTCACAAATTTCCTTGTTGCTCATTTTGGCAATCCTACAGACGTCTTTGTGATGCGTAGGTTCCGTAGTATAGCAGGGGGCATAACGAAGCATTGGTTTTATAAACCGCTCCTTTCAACACCTCAATACACACATGTTTATTCTCCCCCCTGAAGCCGCGCCATCTTGTGAAAAACATCAGTGCTACAACAGGTGCCCGCCAACCCCAACGTGTCTCCAAAAGGCTGATGGAATGCAGGAGCAAGGCGTAGCACAAACCTCACGGCCCCAGGCGATTGGTCAAAACATTCCCCAAATTTCCCTCAAAGACTTTAAGTCTTATGTACAATTAATAAAAAAATTTTTCGCCTTACTAAAGCAGGGCAAAAAAAATGCAATAGTAATTATGAAAGAAATGATTACCCAAAAAAAAATAAAAACTCTTAGATGTACGAAACCTTTCTAAACTTAGGAAAAACCCCCAAACCGTTAAAAGCAATTTTAAAAAACAAAAAAATTTACTGAAAAGGGAAAAATGAATTAGTCAAACAATTTTCTTCCCTAAACTACTTTACCTTACATGATGGACTAATAAAAACCCACAAACTAGGAATCCCGTCGCCAATTTTTTAGCTCCTAGGGCAGTTTTATATAAAATTTTCCAAATGGCTTGTTGTATTTTGAGCCTTTGTTGGCAAAATTTCTAACTTAATGTTAAAAAAACAACATAGATTTGGGTTTTAAATTTAAGCTCCCTTTACTGACTTAAAAGATTTTAACATGGTTGTTTGATGTTACTTCCTTGTTTACGAAAGTTCCCGTTGATGATTTTTTAAGTTTTTTATCTGAAGAATCGTTAACTATGATTACCCTTGCCCCTTCCTACTATCATTAAACTTATTTAAAAATTTGGGGATTGTTGATGCAAAATTTGTATTTAATGCTAAGTTTTACCTAAAGGGTTTTGGGATGGCAATGGGGAAATCCTCTTTTTTCCCGTTCTTAGTAACTATACATGGAATTTTTTGAAACAAGGTTGCTTAACACAATCCCCCCTAACAGAGCTAAAAGGGTTTAGATATGTTGATGAATTTTTTGCTTATGCCAAAAAAAATAATATACCCCTTTTCTTGGAAAATTAATAGCTTAGCCCATTCTAAAAACTTTACTGTTGGTTTTAAAAAATAAAACCCTTCCTTTTTTTAGATGTTTTAAATTTTTAAGGGTAATAATGAATTCAAATTTAAAATTTTCAGAAAACCTACAAATAACTGTTCCTATGTGCACTATTTTTCCTCGCATCAAGATATCAAACGTTGTTTCTCATCAAGTTTTTTGAGAGCTTTACGAATTTGTAGCCTGAGTTCATGATGAGGAAATATCCCAAAAATTTTTGAAATAGGTAATATTTAAAAAAAACCCCGAAATGTTTAAATTTATAAACTTTTAAAGTTGTAGGAACACTTTTTATAATCCAAAAAAGGGCAACCGCCTTATTCAACTAAAAATATGTTGGTTCTCCTTACCATGAAAACTTGGTTGATATGCCTTCTCTTCTTAAGACTTTTAATATTAAAGTTGTATTCAAAAATCTTGATACAGTAAAAAAAACTTTTGATTAAGAATTCCCCCAAAATGCTGATGGATGTGTGTATAAGATTCCTTGTAAAAGTTGCGATAAAGTTTATTACGGTCAAACTGGTAAAAATCTCGAACTAAGATTAAAACAACATAAATATAGCATTAGAACTGGACAAGATTCCAATGCTCTATTTATTCATGTAAGAGATTTTAACCATCCAATTGATTTTCAAAAAGTTGAGAAAGTAGTATCAAGCAAGTCCATGGTCGACAGGAATATAATTGAATCTTGTTTCATAAAAAGCAGTTTTGACAATAATATGAATATTTCCTTTGGTTTATATAAATTAGATCCATTTATAATTAATAGAATTTGGGAAGAATTTAATAATACACTGGACAAATAAATAGCTTGGGGGTGAGTTTTGCAAAGGACCTATCCAAGTTGGCTCGCCGCGCGTCACGTGTTTAACCGTTGTGGGATCTGATAGTGAGGTGCTGGCCGACCCCTTATATAGCTTCCTTGGATGCTTCACTTTCATAGTTCCTTGATAATGTGAGTAGTCACGAAAGCGCTTGGAATTTCTCTACTCTTTCAGAGTGGTTGTTTTGCATATTTTGAAATCACCTGTTTACTGTGATCTTATTGCATATATATATATATATATATATATATATATATTATATATATATATATATATATATATATATATATTTATATATATATATATATATGTATATATTGCTTAAAATTGGTAGATAAACGGTTTTCTCTAATTATGATGTAGGGTGAAAAGGAAATTTGCATATAATTGTGAAAATTCCCTCTCTCTCTTAGTAGTGCATAAAGCTTTGTGATGTGAACAGAGATGGTAACATGGTTTGCATGCTTTCCACAGCCACGCACTGCAGTACTTCCAGCCCATCAACTTGACTGACCTGCTCCCTGATCAAGCTGACAACACCATCAGTCAACTATGGACTGACGCTCTCGAAGGGTGCGTATCTCTGACACACTCGGAAATATACTATGTGAATAAAGTAACTGACATCTTAGTGGGAATATAGTATCTGACATCTTAGGGGGAATATGGTATCTGATATGGAATATATTATTTGATATCATGTTGAAAATATAATATAACACACTTCACACAAGCACCACAGTAATACCCTTCACACAAGCACAACAGTAATACCCTTCACACAAGCACAACAGTAATACCCTTCACACAAGAACAACAGTAATACCCTTCACACAAGTACAACAGTAATACCCTTCACACAAGAACAACAGTAATACCCTTCACACAAGCACAACAGTAATGCCCTTCACACAAGCACAACAGTAATACCCTTCACACAAGCACCACAGTAATACCCTTCACACAAGCACAACAGTAATACCCTTCACACAAGCACCACAGTAATACCCTTCACACAAGCACAACAGTAATACCCTTCACACAAGCACAACAGTAATACCCTTCACACAAGCACCACAGTAATACCCTTCACACAAGCACAACAGTAATACCCTTCACACAAGCACCACAGTAATACCCTTCACACAAGCACAACAGTAATACCCTTCACACAAGAACAACAGTAATACCCTTCACACAAGAACAACAGTAATACCCTTCACACAAGAACAACAGTAATACCCTTCACACAAGAACAACAGTAATGCCCTTCACACAAGAAGAACAGTAATACCTTCACACAAGAAGAACAGTAATACCCTTCACACACGAACAACAGTAATACCCTTCACACAAGAACAACAGTAATACCCTTCACACAAGCACGACAGTAATACCCTTCACACAAGAACAACAGTAATACCCTTCACACAAGAACAACAGTAATACCCTTCACACAAGAACAACAGTAATACCTTCACACAAGATCAACAGTAATACCCTTCACACAAGAACAACAGTAATACCCTTCACACAAGCACGACAGTAATACCCTTCACACAAGAACAACAGTAATACCCTTCACACAAGAACAACAGTAATACCCTTCACACAAGAACAACAGTAATACCCTTCACACAAGAACAACAGTAATACCCTTCACACAAGATCAACGTAATACCCTTCACACAAGATCAACAGTAATACCTTCACACAAGAACAACAGTAATACCTTCACACAAGATCAACAGTAATACCCTTCACACAAGAACAACAGTAATACCCTTCACACAAGCACGACAGTAATACCCTTCACACAAGATCAACAGTAATACCCTTCACACAAGAACAACAGTAATACCCTTCACACAAGAACTACAGTAATACCCTTCACACAAGATCATCAGTAATACCCTTCACACAAGATCATCAGTAATACCCTTCACACAAGAACAACAGTAATACCCTTCGCACAAGCACGACAGTAATACCCTTCACACAAGAACAACAGTAATACCCTTCACACAAGAACAACAGTAATACCCTTCACACAAGAACAACAGTAATACCCTTCACACAAGATCAACAGTAATACCCTTCACACAAGAACAACATTAATACCCTTCACACAAGAACAACAGTAATACCCTTCACACAAGAACAACAGTAATACCCTTCACACAAGCACGACAGTAATACCCTTCACACAGAACGACAGTAATACCCTTCACACAAGAACGACAGTAATACCCTTCACACAAGAACAACAGTAATACCCTTCACACAAGCACGACAGTAATACCCTTCACACAAGAACAACAGTAATACCCTTCACACAAGAACAACAGTAATACCCTTCACACAAGAACAACAGTAATACCCTTCACACAAGAACAACAGTAATACCCTTCACACAAGAACAACAGTAATACCCTTCACACAAGATCAACAGTAATACCCTTCACACAAGATCATCAGTAATACCCTTCACACAAGATCAACAGTAATACCCTTCACACAAGAACAACAGTAATACCCTTCACACAAGATCAACAGTAATACCCTTCACACAAGATCATCAGTAATACCCTTCACACAAGATCAACAGTAATACCCTTCACACAAGAACAACAGTAATACCCTTCACACAAGATCAACAGTAATACCCTTCACACAAGAACAACAGTAATACCCTTCACACAAGATCAACAGTAATACCCTTCACACAAGAAACAACAGTAATACCCTTCACACAAGAACAACAGTAATACCCTTCACACAAGAACAACAGTAATGCCCTTCACACAAGAACAACAGTAATACCCTTCACACAAGAACTACAGTAATACCCTTCACACAAGATCATCAGTAAATACCCTTCACACAAGATCAACAGTAATACCCTTCACACAAGATCAACAGTAATACCCTTCACACAAGAACAACAGTAATACCCTTCACACAGATCAACAGTAATACCCTTCACACAAGAACAACAGTAATACCCTTCACACAAGATCAACAGTAATACCCTTCACACAAGATCAACAGTAATACCCTTCACACAAGATCAACAGTAATACCCTTCACACAAGAACAACAGTAATACCCTTCACACAAGATCAACAGTAATACCCTTCACACAAGAACAACAGTAATACCCTTCACACAAGAACTACAGTAATACCCTTCACACAAGATCATCAGTAATACCCTTCACACAAGATCAACAGTAATACCCTTCACACAAGAACAACAGTAATACCCTTTCACACAAGATCAACAGTAATACCCTTCACACAAGAACAACAGTAATACCCTTCACACAAGATCAACAGTAATACCCTTCACACAAGAACAACAGTAATACCCTTCACACAAGAACAACAGTAATACCTTCACACAAGAACAACAGTAATACCCTTCGCACAAGCACGACAGTAATACCCTTCACACAAGAACAACAGTATACCCTTCACACAAGATCAACAGTAATACCCTTCACACAAGAACAACAGTAATACCCTTCACACAAGCACCACAGTAATACCCTTCACACAAGATCAACAGTAATACCCTTCACACAAGAACAACAGTAATACCCTTCACACAAGAACTACAGTAATACCTTCACACAAGATCATCAGTAATACCTTCACACAAGAACAACAGTAATACCTTCGCACAAGCACGACAGTAATACCCTTCACACAAGAACAACAGTAATACCCTTCACACAAGATCAACAGTAATACCCTTCACACAAGATCAAGAGTAATACCCTTCACACAAGATCAACAGTAATACCCTTCACACAAGATCAACAGTAATACCCTTCGCACAAGATCAACAGTAATACCCTTCGCACAAGAACAACAGTAATACCCTTCACACAAGAACTACAGTAATACCCTTCACACAAGATCAAGAGTAATACCCTTCACACAAGATCAACAGTAATACCCTTCACACAAGATCAAGAGTAATACCCTTCACACAAGAACAACAGTAATACCCTTCACACAAGATCAACAGTAATACCCTTCACACAAGATCAACAGTAATACCCTTCACACAAGATCAAGAGTAATACCCTTCACACAAGATCAAGAGTAATACCCTTCACACAAAATCAACAGTAATACCCTTCACACAAGATCAACAGTAATACCCTTCGCACAAGAACAACAGTAATACCCTTCACACAAGATCAACAGTAATACCCTTCACACAAGAACAACAGTAATACCCTTCACACAAGATCAACAGTAATACCCTTCACACAAGATCAACAGTAATACCCTTCACACAAGAACAACAGTAATACCCTTCACACAAGAACAACAGTAATACCCTTCACACAAGAACAACAGTAATACCCTTCACACAAGCACGACAGTAATACCCTTCACACAAGAACGACAGTAATACCCTTCACACAAGCACGACAGTAATACCCTTCACACAAGATCAACAGTAATACCCTTCACACAAGAACAACAGTAATACCCTTCACACAAGCACCACAGTAATACCCTTCACACAAGAACAACAGTAATACCCTTCACACAAGCACGACAGTAATACCCTTCACACAAGATCAACAGTAATACCCTTCACACAAGAACAACAGTAATACCCTTCACACAAGAACAACAGTAATGCCCTTCACACAAGAACAACAGTAATACCCTTCACACAAGAACAACAGTAATACCTTCACACAAGATCAACAGTAATACCCTTCAACAAGATCAACAGTAATACCCTTCACACAAGATCAACAGTAATACCCTTCACACAAGATCAACAGTAATACCCTTCACACAAGATCAACAGTAATACCCTTCACACAAGCACCACAGTAATACCCTTCACACAAGAACAACAGTAATACCCTTCACCCAAGCACAACAGTAATACCCTTCACACAAGAACAACAGTAATACCCTTCACACAAGAACAACAGTAATACCCTTCACACAAGAACAACAGTAATACGTTTTACACAAGAACAACAGTAATACCCTTCACCCAAGCACCACAGTAATACCCTTCACACAAGATCAACAGTAATACCCTTCACACAAGATCAACAGTAATACCCTTCACACAAGAACAACAGTAATACCCTTCACACAACAACAGTAATACCCTTCACACAAGAACAACAGTAATACCCTTCACCCAAGCACAACAGTAATACCCTTCACACAAGAACAGTAATACCCTTCACACAAGAACAACAGTAATACCCTTCACACAAGAACAACAGTAATACGTTTTACACAAGAACAACAGTAATACCCTTCACACAAGTACATTAACAGTAATACTGTTTCAACAGAGTGTTCCGTTACTACATCACTACGACCTGGGATGACGTAGTGTTGACCAGCCAGCCAGTAGAAGTTACACTTCAGGGCTTCGAGGTCTGTGTTCTGGAGTAACTACCTCCTGCTGGAGTAACTACCTCCTGCTGGAGTAACTACCTCCTGCTGGAGTAACTACCTCCTGCTGGAGTAACTACCTCCTGCTGGAGTAACTACCTCCTGCTTGTTACTGTAGTCAGACTATCATCCTGGGAGTCCCTCTCCTATCATGCTCAGTTATCATGCTCAGCTATCATGCTCAGTTATGCTCAGTTATCATGCTCAGCTATCATGCTCAGTTATGCTCAGCTATCATGCTCAACTATCATGCTCAGCTATCATGCTCAGTTATGCTCAGTTATCATGCTCAGTTATGCTCAATTATCATGCTCAGTTATGCTCAGTTATCATGCTCAACTATCATGCTCAGTTATCATGCCCAGTTATGCTCAGCTATCATGCTCTGTTATACTCGGCTATCATGCTCAGTTATCATGCTCAGTTATGCTCAGTTATCATGCTCAGTTATGCTCAGTTATCATGCTCAGTTATCATGCTCAGTTATCATGCTCAAATATCATGCTCAGTTATCATGCTCAACTATCATGCTCAGTTATCATGCTCAACTATCATGCTCAGTTATCATGCTCAACTATCATGCTCAGTTATCATGCTCAACTATCATGCTCAGTTATCATGCTCAACTACCATGCTCAGTTATCATGCTCAGTTGTCATGCTCAGCTATCATGCTCAGTTATGCTCAGCTATCATGCTCAACTATCATGCTCAGTTATCATGCTCAACTATCATGCTCAGTTATCATGCTCAACTATCATGCTCAGTTATCATGCTCAACTACCATGCTCAGTTATCATGCTCAGTTGTCATGCTCAGCTATCATGCTCAGTTATGCTCAGCTATCATGCTCAACTATCATGCTCAGCTATCATGCTCAACTATCATGCTCAACTATCATGCTCAGTTATCATGCTCAGTTATGCTCAGTTATGCTCAGTTATGCTCAGTTATGCTCAGTTATCATGCTCAGTTATGCTCAGTTATCATACTCAGTTATGCTCAGTTATCATGCTCAGTTATGCTCAGTTATCGTGCTCAGTTATCATGCTCAGTTATCATGCTCAGTTATCATGCTCAGCTATCATGCTCAGCTATCATGCTCAGCTATCATGCTCAGTTATGCTCAACAATCATGCTCATCTATCATGCTCAGTTATGCTCAGCTATCATGCTCAGCTATCATGCTCAGCTATCATGCTCAGTTATCATGCTCAGTTATCATGCTCAACAATCATGCTCATCTGTCATGCTCAGTTATGCTCAGTTATCATGCTCAGCTATCATGCTCAACTATCATGCTCAGCTATCATGCTCAATCATGCTAAGCTATCATGCTCAGTTATGCTCAACTATCATGCTCAGTTATGCTCAGTTATCATGCTCAGCTATCATGCTCAACTATCATGCTCAGTTATGCTCAGCTATCATGCTCAGCTATCATGCTCAGTTATCATGCTCAACTATCATGCTCAGTTATGCTCAGTTATCATGCTCAGCTATCATGCTCAACTATCATGCTCAGCTATCATGCTCAATCATGCTAAGCTATCATGCTCAGTTATGCTCAACTATCATGCTCAGTTATGCTCAGTTATCATGCTCAGCTATCATGCTCAACTATCATGCTCAGTTATGCTCAGCTATCATGCTCAGCTATCATGCTCAGTTATCATGCTCAACTATCATGCTCAGTTATGCTCAGTTATGCTCAGTTATCATGCTCAGCTATCATGCTCAGTTATCATGCTCAGCTATCATGCTCAGTTATGCTCAGCTATCATGCTCAGTTATCATGCTCAGCTATCATGCTCAGTTATCATGCTCAGTTATGCTCAGCTATCATGCTCAGTTATCATGCTGTTATCATGCTCAACTATCATGCTCAGTTATCATGCTCAGTTATGCTCAGCTATCATGCTCAGCTATCATGCTCAGTTATCATGCTCAACTATCAAGCTCAGTTATGCTCAGCTATCATGCTCAGCTATCATGCTCAACTATCATGCTCAATTATCATGCTCAACTATCATGCTCAGTTATCATGCTGTTATCATGCTCAACTATCATGCTCAACTATCATGCTCAGTTATCATGCTCAGTTATGCTCATTTATGCTCAGCTATCATGCTCAGTTATCATGCTCAGTTATGCTCAGTTATCATGCTCAGCTATCATGCTCAGTTATCATGCTCAGCTATCATGCTCAGTTATCATGCTCAGCTATCATGCTCAGTTATAATGCTCAGCTATCATGCTCAGTTATCATGCTCAGTTATGCTCAGTTATCATGCTCAGCTATCATGCTCAGTTATGCTCAACTATCATGCTCAGTTATCATGCTCAACTATCATGCTCAGTTATCATGCTCAGTTATGCTCAGTTATGCTCAGCTATCATGCTCAGTTATCATGCTCAGTTATCATGCTCAGTTATGCTCAGTTATCATGCTCAGCTATCATGCTCAGTTATCATGCTCAGCTATCATGCTCAGTTATCATGCTCAGCTATCATGCTCAGCTATCATGCTCAGTTATCATGCTCAACTATCATGCTCAGTTATGCTCAGTTATCATGCTCAGCTATCATGCTCAGTTATGCTCAGTTATCATGCTCAGTTATGCTCAACTATCATTTTCAACTATCATGCTCAGTTATTATGCTCAGCTATCATGCTCAGCTACCATGCTCAGCTATCATGTTCAGTTATGCTCAGCTATCGTGCTCAGTTATCATGCTCAGCTATCATGCTCGGCTATCATGCTCGGTT